TGGTGATGACCCCTTCTTTCCATTGGGTGTAAGCCACCTTTTTAGCAAGGAGACATTCCTGGATGCTTTTGGTGAGCCATGGGGGCTTACGCGCCCTTCTGCTCCCTTTGATCCTCATTGGGATTACCTTCCTTTGGGCTTGGAGGATCATCTCCTTGAGGAGCAACCACTCTCCTTGGACACCTGTCTCCCCTCCCCTCCGGGACCTCAGCGCTTCCCCAACTATCCTCCTTAGCTCGTTGAAATTTGCCCTCCTAAAATCCAGGGCCGCTGCCTTACTGCATGCCTTTGCCACCTTGCGCTGGATGGTGAATAGATCTGAGCTTCTCTATAGCAGAAAGGATCAGTTATGCCAAATGACTGATTTTTGTTGCTGGAGCAAGACTGTCTAAATCCATCACCTGGGAAAGAAGGTAAAAGCTACTACACTGGCTTACCCATGTTACCTATGCTAGTCCTCGAGCTCCAGCATATTTCTACCCTCCCAGCCAAACCAAAGATGAAGAGTTTCAGGTCTGCTACAGAGCTTTCCACTGCAAATACAATGTTAGTTTAGAGAATTCAGCCCCCACAGAAATGAACACTATATTCAATCAGCAACATACCTAGGTCTATTATTAGCATGCACTTCAGCCTGACTTGATGCTAATGATATTACTTGTTCACAGAACAAATGTAGCAATCAAATGAATTCTAGAGCATATGGGATACTTTACAGTAACGATATAATATGTTTTTTTAGAACTTCATTTTGAGAGTAAGTAGTGACAGCTAGGAGGGTGGATTTTTGAATGGAAAAGCAATTGCAAAAATTGACTTAAAACATCTAATCAGCTCTATTTACAAGCAAGTTACTTACTGTGGAAAGGTAGGATGCATGTATAGAGAAGATAGTCTTTAGCCATCGAACCATTTGTGAGGCACTGGAAGACAGAAAAGCAAATAAATCAAAAACATGAGTATGTAACCGCTCCTGGCTTTCTGACCACTGAAGCAGATCAATATAAAGCAGTGAACCATTTTGGTTTAAAAATGAACCCAAGCTAAAAAGAATTCTTCAACTACACAGAACATATGCAGCTGTATTAGAAAAAGGGAAGATCTAAGTAGTTACGTTAAACTAAAATCTGCTGTGTTACCTTACAACAGGGGTGAGCAAATTATGGCCCGCAGGCTGGATCCCAGTGTTGGCCACCTGCCAGTGCCCACTGGCCCAGGCCTCAGCCAGCACGCAGCTTCTGCTGGGGCTGTTCCAGGTATGGCTGCAGCCAGTTGTTGCTCTGCACCCACTGCCTCTAGCAGCAGCTCCTGCTTTCGATCTTGCTCCCACAGCACCATGCTGGGTGAGCAGTTTGTGGGGTGGCTCCTACCCCCCCAGTGCACAAGGATCCAGCTTCAGCTCACAGCCACCTTTCGATGAAAGGTGGCCAGGTTCTGGAGCCAGAGCCCCATGCACCTGCTGGAAGCAGCATGGCACGATGCAGCAAGAGCAAGAGTTGTTACTGGAGGTAGGGGGGCAGAGTAACATCCAGCCAGCTGCAATGGTGACAGCCCACCAGAAGCTACTCCTGCTCTACTGTACTGTCATGCCACACTGTCCCGGGTGGGCAGGCCAGCAGCTTCAGCCGAGTGGCTCCTGCCCCAAGGTCTGGGCTCCAGCTTCAGCTCCTAGCCGCCTTCCCAGGAGCCGGAGCTTGAGCCCCCTATGCTGGGGCAGGAGCAATAGCAGGTTCCAGCTGCCTGTTCCCAGGGCAGCTGCACCTAGCTAGGTGCTGCTCCTCACCCCCCATCTCTAGCAGCAGCTCCTCCTTTCACTCCTGCCACTCTGTGCTATGCCTCTCTCATCAGGTGCACAGGAACCTGGCTCCAGATCCTGGAACTGGAGGGAGGCCACAGAGCAGCACCCAGCCAGGCTGCGGGCACCAGCAGGAGCATGGCACAGGCTGCCCCTGGTGCGAGTAAGTGCGGTTCAGCCCCAGGTGAAGCGTTGGGGGACAGTGCAGACCATACTGCCCAGAGAAGCTCTGCTGCATGTGCCCCCCACCCCCGTCCTTCCCTCCCTTCACCCGCAGTAGGTTCCCAGGACCTAGTGCACAGGCAGCACCACCTTTACACACACATGCAGATGCCCCACTGCAGAAGGCAAGGGCATGTGATCCCAGACTCTCCTGCCCCTCCCACTCCACTCCTGAACACTGCTCCCACCTGCCCACAGCCCTATTGGGAGTTTTGGTGAGATTGGGGGTGGGGTGGCAGTGCTGACCTGGCCCAAGACGGCTGATCAAAATTCCCTATGTGGCTTGCCCTTGGGTCCAAATAACTGCCCACCCCTGCCTTATAATCTCTTGCTTTTAACACTGAAACCAGATCAAAATTATTCTGTTCTATTTCTCCACACTGTCCCCCACCCCCCTAAAAGTATGGAGAAAGCTTTCACACCTCACAAAATGTCTTATGAAGTGTCCCAATACTGATAAAAAGGTTCTTTACTACACTGAAATTACTAATTTAGGAACTATTTAGGAATTTATCAAATCTAAACAAATATATATGAAGTCATGTATCAAAAGTATTTTTATTCTCTTATACCATGGTCAATTAACGCTCTGTAAACAAAAGTCCTGATAGTTTGAAATACAAACACTAAAAAAGAACATGAAAATTTAGCTATCTTGAAATTCCCCTTCTTGAAATGCAGAAGTAAAAAATAATCATCAAGTCTCTCAGCAGCTGAACTATATCCTTGAAACATTAAAAAGCCACAAGCTCAAAGAGGGCTCTTTTTTGGTAGACATAAAAGAGCTTCGAGGCATTTTGCCCAATGGAGGGTTTCAATGTTTTACATTAATATGAAAAAGTAGAGAGAGAAAAGTAAGTTAATGTAAAGATTATGCAAAGGTACACAGCCAAGTATCACATTAAAAAACAGAAAGCTCACTGTGATCAGACTTGCTGCTATTTTGCTTCTTTAAGAAAATATAAAGAAAAGAACAGCTAAATTTTACACATTTCCTATATGACACATGGTAAAGGATTTTGAATATTATATTCAAATACTGGTTCAAATACCACCCTACCATAAATGCACTGTGCTATCACAAGAACTACAAAGTAGGACAGATTGCAAGAATGGTATACTAACATTTACTCACTTCAGCCCTCCAGAACATTTAAAGTAACTCAAATTTTGGGAGCCAATACTTACAGTTACACTCAGTATTCACTGATGTTATCTAGACACAGCTATATTTAAGTGTTTAAATTATTTATTTTACAAAAACTACACCCCTAAAACATACTGCATAATTGGAAATTGGCTTGACTGGATTTCTGTGTGGTTTTCTATATGCATTCAAGAATCCTAACTAAATCAATGCCTAGTGGACACTGCATTCTACAAAAAGAACAACAACGACAACAACAAAAGAACACAAGTTCATTAAGTTACAAAATACAAGTTTTATGAACTACTGTGAATTATGAAACTATGCAAAAATATCTGACGAGTATCTGACACACTTTAAGGATGTATTTAGGAGTTTGTTTTCTTCTTAATTGGATGCAGACGTTATTTCCCTGAGCTTCTCCCCATCCCGTTAGAAGAACATTTTCTGGTAGCTTAATTTGAAGACTGACACCTGTTGGCTACAAGAGGAAAGCATCAAGGTAGGTCCACCAGGTGATACGATAAGGGGATGCTTCATATTAGCATGCTTGCTTGCATCCTCTCCTATTTGAACTTGTGCCATTCCTCAAGCTGACTACCGAGTCCTGATAGAGACCTCTCCAAACAGCTGGAACCTTGGTTGGTTGTGTCAGTTTTTTCCTTTCTAGATGTTATAGTCTTGGAATCACTGCAGCGAAGCCCAGTGAAACACGTGAAAAGGCCTAACTCTCTTAAGAATAGTATTTTAAACTAGTTTGCAGGTCATTTTTCTTACCTGTATGGGTGGCCTTGCAATCTCTTTGTAAGCTAAAGAAAAGAACAAGAGGTCAATTAGAAAAAGTGGCATATATGGCAGTTTTCATCCTGACAGAGTTATGTGACAGTCCAACAACTCAGGCAGTATTCAGTCTGCCAGAATTAGCCACCACAAAAGCTGATATATGCTCTAAAGGTTCCTCTAGCTGCTGCATCAACTGGTTGGGGAAGGTGAGTTTTCTTACAGTAACACGACTGAAGCTAAAACCATGGTTTTAAACATGGCGCCATTTTTGCCTCCCCTCCAGCAGCAAACAGGGCCATCAGGGGCCCCTTAGCCAATCAGTGGCAGGAGGCAATAGTGGTGCCTTAACTGTGGCTTTAAGTTTTGCCTCCCCACTGATCAGGAGCAACCTGCAAGTGAGGCCCCTCCACCAATCAGCAGGGGAGGGGGACGCACAGAGTAACCTGCAAGATTAAAGAAGCCACAGTGCACCCAACTTCCACCATGAATTCAGTAGGTCCCTAGTAATATCATACTTTCCATGCATCTGGCTGCAGTCAAATAGGATACGCACTACCTCACAACTGCATAACCACAGGACCCATTTTATGGAGTCAAAACAGAAGATGCATCTTAGGACTTCCCTAATAAGAGCAGAAGACAAATATAATTTGTCCCACAGCACAAGCGCAGCATCTCCTACCTCGTGCAACAGTGGAATGACAGCATGTACAGGTATCCTGGCTACTGTATTCTTTACTAAAGCTTCCTTCCTCGTTTGTAGCACTTTCTGTTAAAAAAAGAAAGGGGGGGTGGGGAATACCATCAGAAACATTCACCATCTAGAAGAACCTCACATTTACAAAACATTGGTACAGACTATGTCCAAGTCTCTGCCCCTCACATTGCCAATTCTGTTCACTCAGAGAGAAGGCATATGCAGCAAGGGAGATGAGCAAAAGCCTCATAATAGGGCTCTTTCTAAGGAAATAAGCAATATGATATGCAAAAGAGCAAGTCTGTATGTGAAAATTTGTTTTCCAGTAAGCTTACTGGTCATGGGGAGGAGGGGAAAAGTACTTGAACGGGGAGTTGATAGAAAATATCCTTTCCCCAACAGCATAAGCAGATTCCAGTAGATAAAGGGCTGCTGATCCTACACTGAGATCTCAAAACATTTAACCTCTCTTCCTGAAAGCTATTTTTCTACACCCAGAGTATGGGTGAGGTTATTAAATGAACAAATGTGTAGCATCTTATTATGTATCTCACCAAAGCACTTTAGAAGAGCTCTAGCCCTAAGTGGACTAGAAGTAAGTGACAGATTCAACATCAGACATGGCTTTCAACACATAGAAGTCACCCCCCAGTCTAAGCAGGGTTACTTGAGCAACGTGCATTGTTCTTTTAAAACACTTACATTTAAGATGTCAGGATCATTGCTTTCCAAACCCTGAACCAAAAGCACTGCAAAGCTGTCAGTTTGTGGAAGGCCACCTTGTGTTTTTACTTTCATTGCATCGATATCCATTGCACCCAGGCGGTCTTCGATGCTAGCCTGTGGAAAAGAAAAACAAAAAGTAGTGTTAGTTAAACCAACCTACCACCTCATGCATAGGACCAAGACTCATGGTCACCAATTGTTTTTTTTCAGCAGCATTTTGTAAAGCCATCAGTTGAAGCAGAGCACCGACCCTTCTACAGCATTATCTGCTGACAAGCACTGTCCTGTTATTTTGTTTAAGCAGGACAAGTTCTCCATGTCTCACAGCACAGCACAGCTGATCAACAGAGAAATCAGATGCAGGTACAGCTGGGGAAAGAACAGGGAAATGAAGTTTGTACTGAGAAATAATGTTCCAGATAAACCTGCTCAGCTTACTAAGGAAAGAGAAGGCAAAAATACAACAAAGTTCTCCAACAACGTGACAAACTTACAAGGCAGAGCACATGGAATTTGGATGAAAGGCTGCTTGTAGTCAAGGGGAAGTCAGTACACATCAAGTCCTTCCATGTAAAGTAATTCTCAAAATCCTGTTTCTGCCCAGCACACTGAGCATGCTTCCATGTGCCAACAACAGACTGATTTCATAGTCTGGTTTTACTATTAACATCTGACAAGAACACTTTACCTCTTTGCCTCCTGGTTTCCTTTTCTTTTTCGCCTTCTCTGTCCCAGAGGACAGGGGTTTGATAGCTGCACTATGTCCTGGGACTCCAGGCACTAGAACTTTGGCTTCTGAGTTCACAACAGGTGTTTTTACCTAGTAACGAGAGAGATCCACACATGTATGAACAAGAAGCACCTTTGTGTTTTCCATAGTTAAAAAAGTTTATTCTTTGAGGCCCAAACAGCAGGTAAAAGCCATGTCTTGCTATATAGTACACTTCTGTCATGTGTGTCTAGTATTATAATGGGAAGACCTTCGATGAACTTTAACATTGATCCCATTGGAGGAATATTCAGTTAATATTGGGAAAAAGGTTGAAGAATATTCATCACGGGAGACTCATCTTCTACAAATCTTTTATGTTTAGAGGAACAGTCTGCAATTTTCCACTGAAGGAAGTGTTTCCTAATTATTCCCAACAGAAATGCCCAAGTCTGTGCTGGCAATAGACACTACACACTTGCTTTATGTAGTACCTTTAAGCAACACACGGGAATCACTTGACCTGCCATCAAAAGGCAGCAACTGTATAACACTACAGGACAATTAGAGGAGAACACATCATCACAATAAAACTGAAGGGAGAGTTTAAGCGATGTGAAATGGTTACTTAGATTAGAATCAGGCCAGGACAGCCGCAGTTAGAAATCCTAAATCACACAAAGAAACAACACTGTGGGATCTTTAAAGAACATAAAAAAGATCAGCAAGAAGGGGTGCACAGATAAAGATTTTTTTGGCTGATGCAGATGGCCAATTATTGACCCGCCATATTGGCGGATATGAATCCAATAACCAATATGAAGCCCATAAGCTTGGAAAGCAGCGTCCAGCTG